GGGGGGGGGGTGGGGTGCAGCGTTGCCAGAACAGGGAATCAGAGAAGAGAGAATCAGAGAGGATGAGGGACAGGGACAGCGAGGAGGGGTGGCCTTGTGTGGGTGGGTGTGAGCGCAGCCTCAGAGGAAGGTGTGGGGTGAACGAGACTGTGTTTGTGGATGTTTCAGAGGGTGGCAATGTCAGCGGGTTGTTGTGTGGACCGGGTGCGACATCTGGGGGGGATGACGAAGGCGCGTGGAAAGCCTCACAGCAAGTGTGATGGCTCTCGACCCCAGCTGCCCTTCCGAGTGCCCGCGACGCGCTGTGATTCGGCACCTCTGGGATGGGCCAGAGCCTCTGATGGTTCCGATGGGGAAGCGGGGTCAAGAATCACGGACACTGTGGTTAAGGATGGCTGGCTGTGGGTGAGGCTGGCCAGGGTCCAGATCCATGGATCTGCTCCTTCTCGCTGTGTGATTTGGAGAAGTTATTTAACTTTCCTAAATCTCAGTTTCCACATTAGTTAAATAAGGAAGTGGCAATAGCTGTCTTGTAAAGAGGTTATGCGCAAGAAATATGGAGCGTGGGATCCGATACAGAGCAAGCACTCGATAAAGAGCACCTGCTTTTATTATTATGGGTATATGGATATATATACATAAGCACGTATATATACGTGTGTAGCCGGATGCGCATGGGAACACGTATCTGTCTACTGGAGTAGCTTAGAGAGGTACGTGTGTATATGTGATGTGTGTGTGCATGTGAGGAAGGGTGTGCAGGTGAGAGGTGTGGAAATGTACATATGTGGATGAGGGTGTGGACATGGCTGAGTGCCGAGGACAAAGCTTTTTCGGGAAGAAAGCCAGTCTTAAAGCATCAGTGTGCCCCAGGCCCATTCAGCCACCCCCTGCCATGCCCGCAGAGCTGCTGGAAGCTGCTATTATATAAGGTGGTTCCCAGCAGCCTAGCTGCCCCGTCACCCCTCCTTTCCCTCCCATCCTGGCAGCCCCAGCTGGGGCAGGGGTCCCTCCCCTCCACCACCATCATTAACTTGGGATTAAGCTGGGCTCTCCAACTGAGATGCTGCGGGCTCCATAGCTGCCTCCAAGGCCCCGGGGCGGCAGGGAGGGATAGTGATGGGTGGTGGGGAGGGGGAGGGGGAGGGGGGGTGCCATTTCAGGGAGCCCTGCCTCCTTCCTCATTCTGAGAGCTGCTTAACAGCTGCCCTCATTCCCCAGGGGCCAGGGCTGGGCCTCAGCTGTGGCACGGGGGTGCACCCCCCCCCACCCCTGGAACAGGGCTGACAGCTGGATGCGCTGGGACAGGAGGCACTAATTGGTTAATGGGGATCCCAGCCCCCACAACCCACCAAGGAGGGCCTGAAATCAGCTGGATTGTGGGGTAGGAGCCAATTAGGGGTGGCCTGGCTCCTCCCTGATACCACAAAGGCAAAGCATGGCTGGCCCCATGAGTCAGCAAAGAGAGCCCACTCCCCACCCCTGTGGGAAGGAAGACAGGTGTGAAACACCGGCCTCTGTGCCTCAGTGTCCCCTGCCCTGGTGCATAAAGAAAGAGGCATCCGCCCTGGGAAGGGGCCAGGCATGAAAACTTCATTTGCTCAGCAAATTCAGGAGGCCGGGATCTAGACCCACGTGTGCCACAGATTTGCCTTGTGGCCATAAGCAAGTCATTTCCTTTTCCGGGCCTTTCTTTCTTGAATTATCACACCGCACTCGTAGAAAAATGCCCCCAAAGCAACCTGCACCCCCTCCACCACCATGAAGCCTTCCTTCTCCCCCTAAACTCCCCCTACCCCATGGCTTGGGTCCAGCAGACATTTTCAGAGCACATACCCTGTGCCAGACTGAACCGTCCTCCAGCCCCTGGGAGGTGAGTTCACATTCTTTCCGTTTCACAGGTCATGATGTTGAGGCTCAGAAGGGGTCTGTAACAGCTAATAAGAGGCCAAGAGCCAGATCACTGGCTGGAAGGGACATTAGGCTTCAGGGACGCACATTCTCTCTCCGCCTCCTTAACCAGTGGTTTCCCATGCATCTCACACCCTGCAGGCCAGCGGCTCCCACCCTGAGGGCCCCTGCATCTAGAACTCCCACTGCTTTTATGGTTCTCACCACCTCGTCCCGTCCTTTAGTGTCTCCGTCCCCGGACTGCAGGTCCCTTGAGGAAGAGGGGCTGTGTCTTAGTCACCTTTGCCACACAGTCTAGCCCAGTGCCAGGTACACAGCAGGTGCTCAATACCTGAGTGTAGGATGGGTGATTGACTCAACTATCTTGGCCAGCCGGAACCTGCCCAACCAGCTGAAATTCAAGTGTTAATTAATTAAAATTAAGTAAAATTTAAAATTGACTTCCTCAGCTGCACCAGCCACATTTCAAGGGCTTGACAGCAGGCGGCTGATGGCTACCGTATTGGTCAGGGCAGAGAACGGAACCTTCCATCACTGCAGAAAGTTCTACTGCACGGCACTGCCCTACTGGGCCCCAGGCCCTCAGGCGTCTGGTGCTGTTCCCCCACCTACAGCTTGGAGTTCAGCCCGGGGATCCCCGGCCACTTTTGGGCCAGTCTTTGAAGATCAGCCCCTCGGTCTGCTATTCCCAGAGGAATCCACTGAGGAGAAGGTGACGCTGGCGTGCCGTGCCCGGGCCAGCCCTCCAGCCACCTATAGGTGAGACCCCCACGGTGGGCGCCGGCGGCAGCCGTGACGTTGTTCCTCGCACCAGCCCTGGCACCAGGCCGGGTCCAGCCACGCAGGATGGTCTCCTCCTCTGCCCCCACTTGCAGGTGGAAGATGAACGGTACTGAGATGAAGTTGGTGCCAGGTTCCCGCCACCAGCTGGTAGGGGGCAACCTGGTCATCATGAACCCCACCAAGGCACAGGACGCCGGCGTCTACCAGTGCCTGGCCTCCAACCCAGTGGGCACCATCGTCAGCAGGGAGGCTGTGCTCCGCTTCGGCTGTGAGACCCGCGGGGGTGCCAGGATGCTCCGGGGGAGGGGAATAGGGAGCTGGGGAAAGTGTCTAGAAAGGGCAGGTGACTGCTTCCCACGGAGGCTGGACTGGGGGAGGCCCCCAGGCTTGGAGGACGGTGCCCGAGCACCGGGTCTTTATCTCCAGTTCTGCAGGAGTTCTCCAAGGAGGAGAGAGACCCAGTGAAAACCCACGAAGGCTGGGGGGTGATGTTGCCCTGTAACCCACCTGCCCACTACCCAGGTGAGTCGGGACCCTGGCCCGAGGTTAGACAGAGGGCACAAGAGGGGCTTCAACCACTCAGCAGGGGAGGAAAAGGCGGTGAGTGACCCTTGGAAGCACCGATCCCTGGGTCCCCAACTCAAAATGATTTTGTGTCAGACTCAAAATGAGTCTGTCATTCGCTAGCTCTGTGCCCTGCCTCCTCCTTCAGACTGGGAGCACCCCAAGGGCAGGAGTAAAGTCACATCTTCCTTCTGGGTCTCCCCTCAGCGCCAGCTCCGAGCACGGGGCTCTCAGGACTAGGTCTAGAGATCCCCCCCAGCATGCTGAGGGCCTCCCCCCACAGCTGCCCCGTCAGCCCAGAGCCCCGCGGTTTCCTCAACCCCCGCCCCCCACGTCCTATTTAGGCCTGTCCTACCGCTGGCTCCTCAACGAGTTCCCCAACTTCATCCCGACGGACGGGCGTCACTTCGTGTCCCAGACCACGGGGAACCTGTACATTGCCCGGACCAACGCCTCAGACCTGGGCAACTACTCCTGCCTGGCCACCAGCCACATGGACTTCTCCACCAAGAGCGTCTTCAGCAAGTTCGCTCAACTCAACCTGGCTGCTGAAGGTCAGGGTCGGTGGGCACGGCGGGGAGGAGAGAGCTGAAAGGGTCAGCAGATATTGGGAAAGAGGGTTCTCCCCTGGAGGTGGCGAAGGATGGCTTGCGAAGCCTGGGGTCTGGGGCCCGGACCCCTCGGTCCCCCGGCTGCAAAGCCTCAGACCCTTGGCCAGGCCCCCAAGGGGAACAGGGGTCAAGAAGGGGTCGGCTCTGAGCTGTGCTGAGACCCTAAGCGCCTAAGGAGCCTCAAGCCCGCCTCATTTGCATCCGATCTGCAAACTCCCTCTCTCCCCAGACACCAGGCTCTTTGCACCCAGCATCAAGGCCCGGTTCCCGGCAGAGACCTACGCGCTGGTAGGACAGCAGGTCACCCTGGAGTGCTTCGCCTTTGGGAAGTGAGTGGCAGAGGAGGGAGGGAGCAGGCCAGGGCGCAGCGTGTCAGAGCCCCTCAGGGGCATGGGTGACCCCGGGGAGAGGGCAGGTGGGCTCTTTGTACCCTTCGCAGGGTCGAGCAGAGATCCCAGTGGGTGGTGACCACCACTCACTGAGCACTCTGTCCCTGAGTGGGGCGTCATGCACACCAGGGGTCTGACACATAGTGGGTCCTCCCAGCAATGTCTGCCAAGCTCAGGCCGCTTATGCAACACCCAGGCCGGAGGCAGGTAGCACTGTGTACGAACCCCAGCCTGGCCTCCCGGGTTCAACCCCCAGCTCTGTCACTTGCTGGCTGGGAGACAATGGGTAAACCCTTAACCTCTCTGTGCCTCTGTGTCCTTATTTGTACACGGTAATAATGGTAGTACCTATATGTGAAGTGCTTAGCACAGGGCCTGGCATTTAGCAAGTGTTCTATGGATGCCAAGAGTTGTCTTTTTTTTTATAAATTTTTTTTTGAATTTATTTATTTTTGAGACAGAGAGAGACAGAGCATGAACGGGGGAGGGTCAGAGAGAAAGGGAGACACAGAATCTGAAACAGGCTCCGGGCTCTGAGCTGTCAGCACAGAGCCCGATGCGGAGCTCGAACTCACGGACCGCGAGATCGTGACCTGAGCCGAAGTCGGCTGCTTAACCGACTGAGCCACGCAGGCGCCCCAAGAGTTATCTTTTTAACAATTGTGATAGAAATCCCTCTCTCCTAGAAAAAGGATTCACTGGAACGGGGCTAAGCAAATAGGAGGTGTTCAAATAGATGCCTGTAGAACAATTAATGTGATTTGTACATTGGTCCCCTCTTCCCTTGTATCTCCTGTGGTTACCCAGGATGCCCCCTGCTTTGAGAAAAGTTATTGGACTTCCAGAAAATTCATATTTAAAGCACATGGAAGGTTCATAACTGAACGCTTTAAGAGTCACTGATACTCAGTCGTTTTAGTATTTACAGATTGCTAATGACCACGGCTCTCTTGAAAAGCAGAGGCAAGGCCTTGTTGGGGAGAGGCGGGAGGGGACCCCCTCAAATCCCAGGCTACAGGCCACCGCTGAGGAGGGCAGTCCCAGAAGAGGCATGGTGGCCAGTGCAGGGTGGGGGTGGAGAGAGCAAGCCAGCTTCAGGGTACAGACCGCACGGAAGACCAAGTTCACGGGGTTCCCAATCGTTGCAGGGGAGAGGAGAGGAGAGAGGTGCCCTGCTTCTTGCCACTTTCCCACCTGTGCTCTGGGCCAGTCCGGAAGAGGCCCCTCCCTTCCCCCTTGCCTCTCTCCCTCTGTCCCCTCCCAGGCCCTTGTCCACACCCTGCCCGGCACCTCAGGGGAGGATCTGTGTGTGAGAAGCTGCAGGCACAGGGGAGTCTACTTAGCACAGCAAACCCGCTCTGGCTCTGTCTTCCCCACCAGCCCTGTCCCTCAGATCAAGTGGCGTAAAGTGGACGGCTCCTTGTCCCCCCAGTGGGCCACAGCCGAGCCCACCCTGCAGATACCGAGCGTCGCCTTTGAGGATGAGGGCACCTATGAGTGTGAGGCAGAGAACTCCAAGGGCCGCGACACCGTCCAGGGCCGCATCATCGTGCAGGGTACAGGGCTGGGGCCCCCTGTCGCCCCCCCCCCCCCC